AAAAAAAAAAAAAAAAAAAAAATCGAAAACGCGCCAAACGGTTGATGTATCCCTAATAGTGCTGTGTAGACACGTTCATAAGGAATATAAATATAGTGTGACACTCCCTGCGCGTCGGTTTGTGGGTTATGCAGGGAAGCCGCAAACGGCAAAACAGCTGCACTGACGGACAAGCCAACATGAGCGAGAGCAGAGAGGCGTCCTCCCTGGGCATGATGGACTCGGCGTTCTTCGTGAGCCGAAAGGAGCTAATCGAGTGGGTGAACAGGACACTAAAGCTGAGCGTAACCAAAATAGAGCAATGCTCGAATGGAGCCATCTATACACAGCTCTTGGACATTCTGTTCCCCAACAAGTCTGTCCTCCACAAAGTAAAATGGAATGCCAAGCTAGAATATGAATGCATAGTTAACTACAAGTTGATTCAAAATGTCTTCAACAAAATCGGGATTAAAAAACATATGGACATAGATAAACTAATTAGGGGAAAATACCAAGACAATTTAGAATTTCTCCAGTGGTTTAAAGCTTTTTTTGAGCGAATCATTGATTATAATAATAAACATGTAATTAATTATGACCCTCTTGAGCGTCGTAAAATGTGCATTCTTGGAGATAGGGGAGATTACAAGTTACTAAATAACTATTTGCCCGATTGGGCCAAGGTAGAAATACATAATGGGAAAGAGAAATTAATACACAACGAAAATAGGACTTGTTCTAATAACCCCAAATGGAACAATGACTACAAATCCAGTGTCCATCAGGACAACGTAACGTCCAGTGTGGCCACCCGTGCCGCCACTTCCTCCAGTAACAACAGCAGCGCTGCTAATCTGTGCCAGTCTCACTCTGGGAGAAAGATTATGAAGAAGGAAAAACGATCCACATTGCTCACCACGACAGGGGACAACAATATGACTAGTTCCCATTCGTGCAAGGAAATAATTCACTCTGCTAAGAGGTACCCCAATGGGGTAACGCATCAGGGGATGACGGCTACAGGGACACACGTGGGAAACCACCACCTACCCACGTCCACGTCCACGAACAAGCGGCTTTCCGTCTCAGCAAAGGTCTCCTCGCGAGGATCACTCTCCTCTTCCACTTACTACCACCCCAACAAAAATAACTGCCATGTAGACAACCACAAGGATACCCTCTCCCTAAGCGAACAAAATAGAAAGTTCAAAATGCAGTTGGAAAAAAAAAACAGCGAAATTGCCTCATTACAAAATACATTAAAAATACAGGAAAACGAAAAAAAACTTTTACTTTTCCAAAAAAATTTTTATTACAACAAATTGAGGTTTCTTGAGCTGCTGTGCAACCAGACGGATGACGAGGCTCTGCTGGTGAGCGACATACGGCACATCATCTATGCGCGCGAGAATACGTACTTCCACCAGACTATATCGCTTAGGGGGAAGGCTAACGTGGATGGGGGGGAAGCTAGCGAAGTGGACCCAAACGAGGTGGAAGTGGCCCAATCGGGGGAAGCCTACGCCGAGACTGATAATGAAGCCCCCCTGTCTCACGCCCATGACCGCTACAACGCGCACGACTTCGTGGAGCAGAACGGCGAGGTAGAGCAATACGCGAGGCACTACAACAATCAGGGTGCGATGGACTTTCCTACCTACTGCTCCTAGGTGGGGGGGCCACAGTTACCATCTCGTGTAGCAGCAACCCCCTAGGACTGCAACAAACCGTGAAATGTGATTCACCCGGCAAGAAGTAGCCCCCCACAATTGTCTTCCACACAAATTGATACCTCCCATTTGTGCAAATATATATAAAAAAAAAAAAAAAAAGGTGTATTCCCCACCAAAACTGTGCGATATATATAAAAGTACACTTTATACTTGTACCTCCAAATTTTACCCCTTCGCCTCACCATATAACATCAACAATATTGTCTCTTTGATTAACGCTCCATGTTGTTTTTCCTCAAATGTGTATTTAGTCAACATTGCCCTTCCTACAGTGCAGTACTTTTTTACCCCCCCTTGAAATTTTTTTTTTTCTTTTTCTATTTTTTCCGGTGAGGTTACTACTTGGAAGTGGTCGCTTGTCGAGGTGGTGGAGACGCCAAATAGCTGCATTTCCAAATGATCGCCTATGTGAACGCTTCACCCGTTCAGGCCTTTGTACACCATACACCTTCACATCTGCCTCGCTATCCTACGCTATTAACTCACTTCCTATTTGCACCCTTTTTATGTATCATAAGGGACCCCCCGTTTCGCCCCACGCATGGTACGCCTTTGTTTTCTTTTTTTTTTTTTTTTAAATGAAACACGTACATTCAAACTTTTTTACAAAAACTAAAAAATTAACATTGAAAAAAAAAAAAAAAAAAAAAACAGACACACAGACACACAGACACACAGACAGACAGACAGACAGACAGCTAATTAAATGGGTGCACATTATTATCCCTTCCGTGGCGATCCTAGACCAGGGAAGAGACAGCAAGGTATGGAATAGCTTACCCCTACCGATGAGCAACTGCTTACCTTTTCTACACCTTACATGGAAGATGCCTCACTGCTTGACTCCTTCATGGCTTCGTAAAAATATGGGTGCGGCAGCTTGGTCTGAATAATCTCATCCACAATTCCGTACTTCTTCGCCTCCAGAGCATTCATGTAGTGGTCCCTGTCTGAGTCCTTCTCAATCGTCTCAATTGTCTGATTAGTAAAAGTGGACAGGTAATTATACAAGAGCTTCTTCAGGTAAAGAATTTCTTTGGTCTGTATCTCTATATCCTGTGGGTGGCCAAATGCATTGCCCAGAGGTTGATGGATCATAATTCTGCAGTTGGGCAGAGATTTTCTCTTCCCCTTTTTCCCGCTAGCTAAAATTACAGAAGCCATAGATGCTACTAGGCCAAAAGATATTGTTTGTATGTCTGACTTGATATAATTAAAAATGTCCAAAATGGCTAGTCCTTCATTTATGGACCCCCCTGGGGAATTAATATAAATTTTGATGTCATCGTGGTTGATGTTGTCTAAGTATAACAACTGGCTGATCATTTCGTTGGTCGTTTTTTTATTTATTTCCTCCGTCAGGTATATTATTCTTTTTTTCAAAAAGAATAGCTTTAAGTCCTTCTTCATATCTTTCATGTGGTCCACTCTGGGAAGGAGCTCCTCCCGTCTCCTGTACTTTTTGGTGACTCGCCTTATTCTGCTGCTGCTACTGTCGCTGCTTCTGCTGCTACTTTTGTGGATTGGTTTTCCTTTGGAGGAGGGCTCTTCTAAAGGGCTTCCCTCCATTCCGAGGAAACCACCCCCCCGTGTGGCAGCATCCATGAACAACTCGCCATTCTTAACACTTCTCATTCCCGTGGCAGAAGTGTCACTTGGGGCCATCCAATCTGCCGTGCTATCTGTTGCGCTCTCCTCCCCCGCTGCGACATTTTCCTCTTCATCCCCTATCGACCGCGACGAGTTGGAGGACACCACCCTCGTCTTGCTGCAGCGGCCGTAAACACCGCTACACCCACCACCGTCTCCCCGGCCTGCCCAGTTGTGCTTCGCCTTTCCGTGGGGGACTTCTCCACCAGTGAACTGTATGAACGGCGCCGCGCTCAACCTGTGTGTATTCCTTTTTGCATGTGTTTTGTTATTTCTCAGTAGGGTGAAAAGCAGCAGCGAAAATAAACATACCATTTCTGCAATGCAGGCAGGTGATGTGCGCAGGGGGAATGCGTTTTCCACTAAAAAATTTTAAAACAGTTGTGTTCCTTTTAAAAAGTTTGGTAAAACGGGCGGAAGGAACCAAGCGCGCATCTTTGCACGTGCGCATGTGCAAATATATATGTATGTATATATATATGTGTGCACGTTTGTTCCTTCACCCTGCAAGCACGGTAGCTGTGTTGCGTGTAAGGCTGGAACCTTGCGGGGAAACCTCTGCGTTCCCTTTGGCCCCAAGAAAAAGGAAGTCAACGCTTACACATGTAATGCGGAAGGGAATGACCCACTTCAAAATGGAGAAAAACAGGAAGGAATAAAATTCTGCCGCTTTCGCAACGCGGCACAAATGAACAACGAACAGATAGCCCAGCATCCAATAACTCTATGACTCATCGCAGACGAATATCCCCTCCCATGGCAACCTAGTTGCATTCTGGGAGAGCATCCATGCGGTTACTTTCATTTTTCATTATAGTGTCCTTTATTTTCTACACGACCAAGGAGAGCAGCAAAGCGTGGATTTCCTCTTCGTCCTCTTTTTTTTTTTTTTTTTTTTCCTTTTTTTTACCTTGCCTGGCAGGTTTTTCTCTTTTTTTTTTTTTTCAGCCCCGCGCAGTTCAGGAGTTTCACGGAGCCCGTTCTGAATAGTGCCAGCAAAGCGCAGCAAAAAGGGGAAAAGCAGAAAATGTGAAAAATGTGCAAAGCGCGTAAGGTTGAGTGTAGCACGAATTTGGTGAAATCTCCCTGGTGCAGAGCAAAACAGGTGGTGTGTGCAAACGGGCAGGGGGATACAAGAACATGGAGTGACGAAAAAAAAGCCAAAATGTTAAGCTAGCTAGTTTTTTTTTTTTTTTTTTTTTTTTTTTTTTTTTTTTTTTTTTTTTTTTTTGCATTACTTGTTAATAACTTCTATAATTTTAAGGTATCGCAAGGTAGCTATTTTGGCTTCTCCTGGTGAGTAAGAAAAACAATTTGGCGAAAAAGGGGATAAAACATATGAACCGTTCAGGCAAAACGGGAAAATAAAAAATATATATAAATAAAATATAATAAAATGGAGAACTGGAAAAAATAGAAAAAAAATAATCTAGTATCGCAGGATTGACCAACCTGTCTGTCCAAAGACCTGCAGATTCATCTGAGTCAGCTCGGACTTTTCCACGGGGAGACAGCTGCGGGGGAAGGACGTGCATGGGGAGGGGCAAACGTGTGAAGGTGGTCCGCACGGTGTGCATATTAGTAAATGCGCAAAAGTTCCAAACGCTCACTCACCTGCCCTTCTTCATGGCCATGTCGTAGAGTGACCTGTATATCAGGTTAATGTCGTCCAACTTGGCCCGTCGTCGAATCAGCGCGGGGACGGACTGGAAGGTAGCGTCGTCGATGGGGCAAAACAAGCTCTCCTTATCGGTGGCATTTCCTTTGTTCACCTGTTCGTTTCTGCTGTCCTTTGCAGCGTTTCCGTTATTCAACACCCCCTTTTTTTCGTTGTCCTTCAAATCGCTTGTACTTAGGTAATTTTTATAATTGGCCGAGTCACACAATGCAGGTTTCCCGTTGGGTACTTCCCTGCCTAAATCGCTCAAGTTGTTTCCACTTGTTTGTTCCCCTTTGCTGTCTACACATTTTTGGAGATGGTCCAGCTGTAGCAACTCGTTAATTTCATCATAATTTATGTTGAGTAAAAACTTCTTTATATTGTCGTAAAAGAAATTATTTAAAATAATTTCCGAGTTGTGATAATTTACAAACTCCTTGGAAGTGATGTTTAAATTATTTTCCAGGTTTAGCAAAAAGTTATAATTTTGCATTTGCCTGTGCATGTACTGTATGCTCATTTTTTTTCGTTCATACAGGACGTTTAATTGTTTGTTGATTTTCTGCAGCTCGCTTTTTATATTTTCAAAGTCGTTAAGAATTAGGAACGGGTTGATATCATCTTCGTACATTTTGCACATTTCGTCTTTCAGCTTTCGCTCGATGAGCTCGATGTCGCTGTTCATGTTAAGGAACTGTGAAATGGGAAAGGACACAAAATCATCAAGTGAATCACGCAGTGCAGTTCCCTTTGTATATATGTACATGTACAGGTATACAGAAGCGCTTGTCCCAACACACCCATGTGATGTAATCTAATGAACTCACCTTCTCCTTCAGTGCGTCTATTGACAACTCCATCGTGACTATTTCTCTCTCTCCTGTGGTCTTGTTCAATTATCCAGCCCGCAGGCCAATTTTACACACACAGCTGCGCTTTTGTGTGCATGCATATGGCGCGGTGTGCATAGCCCTCCCCCACCCTTGGACGCGAAAAGGCGTACACAACCCCTTTTGGGAGGAAACGCTTATGCTAAGTCGTTTTAAAAGGGGGTTATTGCCATGTGCGAAACGTGGAGAAAAAACAGGCGTACATGCATAATGGCTGGCCGTCCTGACGCGTCCTTCCTTCCATCACGTACTTGTGAGAACAAGGGAAAAATGCAACCCCTAGCATGTCCTGGCAAATCCTTCCCTGTTCAAAAAAGGTAAAAATTTCGCTCGTTGGTATGCTAACAAAATAGCGGCGGTGAAGTGTCAATTGTTATGCCTTTCGGAGGAAGAAGAAGAAGAAGAAAAAGGAACGGAAAAAAAAAAAAAAAAAAAGGTGCTTTTCCTAGCCAGTATGTACATATACCTAGCCATGCAACACACGCACGTCCAGGAGGGCAATGTGCACTTCCAAGGTTGAAGTCGTAAATGAAGGTCCATTTCCCAACTCAGTGCGCAAATGTTTCTGCATGATGAGGTGTTACATTTACACATGCGTGTAAGCTTATGCATGCATTGCCACTTTTCCCGCCTGTGAATTTTCCTTCTCATCACACGACCCTTTTCATTTGCCTGCCGTTTTTTTTTTTTTTTTTTCAGATCGGGATGGTAAGCGGTTCAGTAGGTGCTAACATGAGTACTTCACATCCGTTGACCACACTCTGCTATATCCAACTTAACCCTTTTCCCATTCTTTGAAACTGCACAAATTAGGTATGCCTCTTATTCATTTCCCTTTCCGCCCGTTTATTTAAGCCGCAAAAAAAAAAAATGTGCACCTCCGTTGGGCCATCCATAACGCATGAAAGGACATGTGCGGCACGATGGAGAGGCCCGACATAGAGTATTTAAATCTGCCTGAGAAGGTTAAGAAAAAGTTGTATGCCTTCAACATAAATACGAGTAAGTAATTATATCCCTTTGGAGATGAGTGACCCCTGGTGGGCAAGCACGCATTTTTACACGTGTGTATATATGTCTACCTCGGCATGTCCCCACAGTCATATACTCATTGTATAGTGGAGGCACACCCAGGTATGCGCCTTTCCCCTTCCACCCCCTTCCCGCAGTTGAGAAATTAAGCACGAATTATCTGGAGGGCGTCGACGTGGAGGTTGGCAATCTTTTATGAGTTCCCTCGAATGATGTTCCGGAGATGGGGATAAGTGTATAACCCCGTCCATATACATACGCGTGTGTCGGTACATAAAAAAATTCACTTTTTCCAAATTACAGGAGGTCAATGCAGGACAGGATGAACTGTTCCGTTACCACTTGCGAGACTTGGGAGTGCCAAATGAGGACGGGGAAGAAGGCCGAGCAGATTATTCTAAGGACCCCCTCCATGGTTATAACCACCCTGTGAGCGATCAGGAAAATTATTGTTATGGTGGGAGTCATGCAGACACGGACGATGAGGGAGGCGTGCTGATGGACTCGCTGAGCGACGGGGGGGAGTCGTCCTCATCATCCCCATCAGCGTCCGTGTCAACGTCAACGTCAACGTCAACGTCAACGTCGGCTTCTATGTCTACCACGGGGCATGAGCGCGCCCCACCAACTTCTCCCCCCGAAAGGAGAAAATACACGGTGCTCAAAAGTATAAACCTGTGGACGAACCTAAAGAGTAGCAACAGTTTAGTGGGGGCGTCGGGAAAGGTTGTGAAGAATAGCGTGCCAGTGCATATAACTAGGTGCAAAAATCCGGAGGGACTTGAGAAGGATTTCCTGACCTGCTCGAATTACATGAAGGCATCCCTCAGCGAGGTGACGTCTGTTAAAACGAATAGTCATGCACTGAACAAGCTCCTCGGAAACGGTCTCCAAAGGTCTAAAATATATTTCTTATATGGGAAAAAGACAAAAATAAACAAAATCATTTTGCTCAATTTATTATGTGACGTTCTCGCTGGAAGTTCGTCCACTTCAGTTGCGGTGTTCATATACTTTAGCTACATTAACGACGTAACATTAATTTATAACATTTTAAAAGAAAAAATGAAAAGGGGGAGAAAAAAGAAGCACTCATTGGATGATATCCTTAACAGGTTATTAATTTTTCGGGTTCAAAGTTTGAGCGAACTTATTTCCTTTTTGGCACATGTAAGAAAAGACAGGAGATTCAGAAAAAAAGCGGATCAAAAGAACCCATTTACAGCAAGCCAGCTAGCCAATGTGACATGCATAGGAATAGACAATTTAACAAATTTGTTAAAGCAATTAAGTGTACAAAATTCGACTACCTACTTCTACCTCGTCCGGGAGTTAAAAGTTATTTCTGTTACATTCAACATACCCATAATTATATTTGACTGTGAGAAATATCAAGTGGAAGGAACACTTGCGTGGGGCAAAAGGCAATGTAAAGAAGAGGACGCACAGGAGGGGAAGTACACAGGGAATGATTACAAGTACAGAAATAATAAAACGAAATGGAACGGGAATGCTTCTACCACTTATGAAAAGACAAGCCGTTTAACACCCCAAGGGGAGGAGCACCCCACGAATGTGCTCACCGATGATGTGCCATATTGGACGGGAAGGAAGAATAGAAGGGCCAAGTGGAAAACGAGCGTACTGTCCTGTGACAGCAATGATGAGGGCAGCACGGAGAGTAGTAGCGCCACGGACGACTCGGAGTCGTACCCAGATTATTACCACCAGGGGGAGGGAAGCACTAATGATAAGTCGGCAAAATTTGGAAGTGGGCACAGTGGTGACAGTGTATCGTCCCCTAGTGAATTGTCTCCCCCGTGCGAATCAACCGAGACGGAGCAGCAGGACGCGTCGCCCATCACCATCCACATTGAAGAAATCACACGACAGGGATCAAGTGATGATAAAAAAAATGCATTCCCAACTGTGCACAACAGCAAGAACAACTCAAACAAAACGTCCGTCCCGCACCTCACCTATAACTTATTTGACTGTGTCCTCGAAGTTGAAGTCCTTCAAAAGATGCGTGGTGATAAAAACGTGGTTCGTTTCACTCTGCTCAAATCACCGAATAGCATTACACATTTCTACGTCCACTGCTGCATTCAAAATTATACACTAACGGACGTGACGTAGTTTCCGAGTGGAGATCACAGACACGTGCAAGTGGAGTGGGCAGTCCATGCTTGCATCGCAAAGGTGTCCTTCTCTTACCATGTAATTTGTTTTTTTTTGGTGTGGTTCCCTTAGGAACTTTCCATTTAAATAGTACCTAGCAAATGATAGTTTTGTGATTTGTTCACAGCGGTTACTGCACCGTTGGAGATAACACACGCGTAAGCACATGCACGAACACGCATGCACATACAAAGGCATACAAAAAAAAAAGAAAAAAACATTTCGCTTTCGAAACGAATCGCACAAACGAGGGGGGATGACACATGAGCATCGTCAAAAAAAAAAAAAAAAAAAAAAAAAAAAAAAATTTGCCAAATGGAGGGTGTCTAGATCAACTCAGATGACGTCGCTCAGGTAAACAAAGCATAAAAATATTTTGGCGGTTCCGAGTCTGCAGTAGGGGAAAAAATTGAAAAAAAAATGGGGAAGTGGAAGACACGTGGGGTAGATGTGTGTCCGCACAGAGTGACAACCATGGGAGTATGTGCCAAATTGCGCACACCTCCCCACACTTACTCGTCATCGTTATGTATGCTGCAGTAGTTGTAGCTGGGCAGGAAGAATAGCGAGCCGGTCTTCACCGATCTTGTCTCCTTTCCAATGGTTAGTCTGACGTTGTCGCCTTTGTAAATGTACCCATACTGCAGGGGGAGGGGGCAAGCGGAAACATGACAGGGCAAAAATGTGCAGTGAATGCATAAACGTGGCGGCCACATCTGTTCACGCCGCAGGATGAAACCAAGTACTGCACGTGCACATGCGTACATATATTTTTTTTTTCAAATATTACTATGAGGTTGTGGTTTATGTTTCCGAGCTGGATGGATCTGTTTTTGGCCAAAATGACATTCGTGGTTCTGCTTTGGGCTGTAAGTATCAGCGGGCCGATCTGCAACAAAAGGGGGGAAATAAAAACGGCGTTGGGCGGGAGAATCTTTTTTGCATTATGCGCAGCACGGTGTGTACACCTTTGTAGGGTGCCCAGTGGGGTCCTCCACGTGTGGTTACCTTGACGCCGGAGAGCCTCTCCCATACCGTGTCCGCGGGATTGTACGCGACTCCTGCGGAAAGGAAAAAATATATATATAAAATATAATGACACCGCGTGGCGGGGTAGCGGCACGTGACATTACGTCGATGGCGAAAAAATTGCATCCCCAATCACGTCAGCCAAACGAATGGGCGCCACGCGCTAGGCCTCTCTCTTCCGCTACATTCATTTTTTCGCACGTACTGTACGACACCATCTTGTTGTTCTCGTCCACGAACGTGGAGTAGTCCTGGTCCGCCCTGTTTTCACTGCTGGAGTGGCTGTCCTCATTGGAGTTGTTTCTATACGAGTCCACAGACTTGGCTTCTGCATGGTTCATGTTGCTTTGGTTACTACTACTGTTGCTTCTTTTATAATGTGTGTCTGGTTGATCCACTTCATTTTTTCTTCTTCTGCCTCTTTTTTTTTGTACCTTTTTAATGTCCTTTTCGGAATGCCTGTCCTCGGACCCACTTGCATGCGATCTAGTTGTCCTTATATTCGTGTGATACTCTCCATTGTCTGCCTCCTCGTAAGACATGTGGTCCCTGTTGTTTCTCACTTGTTCAAAGTTCCTGCTACACAAATTGGGCCCTACATGACTTGGTGCATCTGGTTCGAAGGATCCGTACGGTGCAGGGTACTGATCTTCATTGATGTTGGGAGCGAAGTGGTTGTTGGTTCTGCTTGGGAGGAGGTATCCATTGTGGTGGTTCATATGCTGGCCCATCTGCTGGCTCATGTGTTGCCCCATCTGTGTGTGCATCTGGCTGAGCTGCTGCCCAATGTGTTGGCCCATTTGGTGACCAATGTGGTTGCCCACTTGGGGGTTCAGGTGCTGTCCCACCGGAAGGCCCATCTGCTGCGCCAGCTGCGCGCTCAAGGGGTTCATCTGGTTTAACTGGTTCATCGGGTTGTGCGGGTCGGCTAGGGGATGCCCCTGGGTCTGTCCCAGTAGTTGCCCTAAAGGCTGTCCCACAGGCTGTCCTACAGGCTGCCCTAAAGTCTGCCCTAACACCAGGGTAGGTCCTCCTAACTGGTAACTCTGGGGATGCTCCATTGTCATTTGCAGGTGTGCATTGGGGTTACTCATCTGGTTGTTATAAACAGGGTTAATTGCGGAGCCCATGTTGCTGTAGAGGGTCGGGGGCTGATTCTGTTCACTGCTCATGTTAGCGATCTGGCCAGCTGCAGGGGCACCCGTTTGGTTATTCAGCTGCACAGTGGGGACGGCCACTGCTTGTGCGGTCGACACGTTGCTTTGAGAGTCGTTCGATGGGGCCTCCTCCGACGGGGTGGTAGTTTTCTTCAATCTGGGTCTTCCCCGCTTGCGCTTCACCGGCGGTTGCGCTTGCGGCTGGTTTTCCTGCACGGCGGGTGGCACACCCTGCGTAGTGCTCTGCGTGGCGAGCTGCATCACGATCTGCGGCGGAAGTGCGTTCCCCACCACGGCTGCATTACTAACCGTGGTCGCATTATCATGAGGCACATTTGCATCCACAACGGTGGGAAGAATTTGCGCGCCTCCTTCACTGACTTGTGTTGCATTCTCCTTAACGTCACTTAAAATGTGAGTCGATTTGTCATTCAATAATACATGAGCGTCGGCAGCCATCGTGGGGGGACTCTCTTTATGTAAGTCAGCCTTATTGTTATGACCATGTATGTCGTCTCTATTCAACTGTGTCTTGTGATAAGGTACATTGTGTAGGTACTCATTTTTGTGATTCACTCCTTCTTCCTCAAAATACGGCTTGGCTCCACTGTGACTTCCTGGAGGGGTCTTTTTCGAAAAGGCATTCCTCTGATCATCGTGTGTCCGTAGCTGCTCATACACTTCATGCTGTTCATGCTGTTCATATGACATAGCACGTGGGTCATAATAATCTGCCTGATCGGATGGGGTTCCCTCCTCGTAATACTCGTCCCCTTCATAGCTACCTCGCGGGTGAATGCGGTTATACGCGCTGTGATAATGGCTGCCCGCATGATGTACTCCATTTGAGTGACCGCTCAACCTTTGGTGCGCGCGCTTACTGTTGTAACAATCGCTCGGGTAGTTGGCCCCCCGGGATACACCCGCGGGATGACCTGTGCCATACGAAGCATGCCTGTCAACACCATCGTGAGGATCACCACTTTGCCCGTCCTCATACTTCCTATTCCCCCCACGTGCGTAAGTACTTATTTGGTTCTCACTCGAACCTTGTCTTCTATAAGATGGGTTCACCCCACTCAGGTATTCACTGCGATGATACGCGTGCGGGTTAGTAGAGGTGCGCCCGTCGCAGTAGTTATTAAACGAGTTCTCTTCCTCGTGGTAGCGATCATCATGATGGTAACGACCGTCCATCCGACCTTGGTTCGCCCCACGCACACCCACTGGGTACCTCCCATGTCGATACATGCCTTTCTTATAATTCGTGTCTTGATCCATCCTTCCATCATGTACATACATTCTGTCTTCATCTCCATCCTTCTCCTGATCGTCCTCACCGCGTACCTTTTTGTAACCCCTACTGTGCGCACTTCTAAAGTACGTGGTTGCACCTCCTTCCCCCACTGTATGCATGTCACGCGCAGGATACACCTCACCAGTGAATAACTCATCCTGTTTAGGATCCTCCAAGCTCTCCTCTTCATAGGAGTACATCCCATTCTGTGTCTTATCGTAACCATTAATATGCATGCTTCGTGGTGGGTGCTCATTTTCGTGTATGTACTCTTTTCTGTTTTGCTGGTTCACATGGTGCATTCTCCTATTTACTCTCTTATTCAGTTGTGAATAATTTGAATCGTCGACCCCTTCATCAATGTCATACCTCTCATCCGCTTCGAGGTTCGCATTTCCGTCTGCACTGTATCCGGTGTCTCTCCTCACACGCGCGACGCGATGATAGCCTTTTGCTATTCCACTGTACTGATGGAAGCGATAGGCGCGACGGTTTACATTGTCACCTTTACCGCGTCTTTCCCTCATTTCGCCACTGTCTCCCCCTTTCCTCACATTCTGCACGTGGCCCTCTCCATATCGACTGCGCTGGGGGACTGCTCCTCCACTCTGAAAAGCGTCTTCCTCAACATGGTCGTCCATCATCCCTCCGTCGGTGCTGCCTGTCATGTCCACATTGGGCTCGCTCTCATGGAATGATGCCTCCCCTCGGGCTATATCCTCTGGCAGGTCTGCAAACGGTCTGCTACTTCTAACCTGTTTCTTCTCGTACACTCCATTTCCATGCAGATAGTGATGGCTCATTTCATCTTGGTCGTCAGTGGTCACGTACTTTTGTGCATCCCCAGCAGTGCCCTGTTGTCCGGGCTGCTTCGAAAGAAACAAATATTTTTTCTTCTTTTTAAATTGTGAGTTACCACTTGGTTCTACCTCCTTGGTGTGTTCATAATTGTCGTCGCCGCGATCGAGCTGCATGTATATGTCTCCCCCCTGGTCGTTCGCATGTACATATTTTACTCTCCTGTCACTGTTATAGCGGGAGATGTTCTCATTCTTCCTCAAATAAATGCCTTCGCTAAATCGGTTGTGGGTTCTGTTCCCTTCACGGTCTTCCTTGAATGCCCCCTTGCCCGTGCGCAGGTCCCTCAGTTTGGAGACACTCCATGTTGTGTCGTAATGAGGCGGAGACCCGCCATCTGCCTCCCCCTCCGCGTGCTTCTCCCTCAGCATAGTCTTCCTCACCTGCGCAATCCTCCTAATGACTGTCTCCTTATCATCATCCCCGCCTTGTCCAATGTTCACAATTCTATACACATTTTTATTCACCCGAATGGCCTTCTCGTGGCTGCTACTTTGCGAGTTCCCCATGTGGTCATCATGGTCTTGCAGCCCCAGTTGTGCCTCCTCATCAGTATTATTATCACCATCACCATCTTCATCGTGCTCCGCATCATGGTGATCATTTTGAAGCGATTCGTTCGATGCATCCATGGAGGCTAATCTGGTTCTTCCCCCGTGACGACTGTATGGCTGTGTGTATCTACTGGGGGCTCTAGCGTGTAGTTTTTTTCCCACCTGGTTAACACTAACAGGAGAGTCATTTCGAAAAGTGGGATCAAAAAACGGGTTGTATTTGGTCCTTTCCTCATCTGAACCCCTTCCACCACCATATCCTTTAGAAACAGATGCAGCGACACTGGTTCTGACTTTTTTCCCTTTACTTATTTTGGAGGGACTAGAAACAGAATAACATGAACCCAAGGTTGAAATGTCATTGTCGAAATAAAACTCATCCTCTTTATCTGAATCATAGAAGGAAGACACATCATCGTCCACGTAACTGATTCTGCTCACTGCATTCTCTAGTTGGTCATTTAGAAGCTGGGAGGTGTTCAGGCGATATATTTCACAAATATTATCCTTATCTGTATTCTGGGTGGTATAATCCTTGGCCTTTTTATTTACTCCATCGATGGAATTGCCCAGGGGGTCACTCAGGTTGCTCAGATTCAGGCTTTCATTATTCTCGCTAAAAGGGGGGGGGGTGGTTAAGAGGCGTATTAGTCGGGGCAGACATGACGGGCGTGGCGTGCACACGGGGGGAGGGAATACCAACATCATATAGGCATGCCGTTGCGCCGGCGAAGGCCAACGGGGAATGCAGCAACTCTGCTCCCCACTTACAGTGACGAGAGGGGCTTCCTCTCTATGACGGTGAATAGCCCATTGCTGGCTGTGGACTGATCAAGAGCCTGCACAAGGGGGAAGGGAAGGTTATAGCGAAGCGTTAGCGGCGTGTTAGCGGCGTGTTAGCGGCCGCACGGCAGCGAAGGGCCTCTTTGAACGGTCCACTTACAAGGTCAAATATCTTTTCATCATTCATAATTCTTCTGGGTGTTTCTGTTTTATCTTCTCTTCGGGTGAGATGTGACCAGAGGACAAGACAAAAGATCGGCTGGGCTGCACCTCCCTCGGTGAACACAACTTTGTGGGCTCACTGGACAGGGACACACATGCACACACAAATGTATATACATATGTGTACGTATGCACGGATGCATGCCTGTGTGTATAAGCACATATAGGGGTGTACACACTGCGGGGTCAAATGGTTGGACACACACAAAAAAAAAAAAAAGAAAGAAAGAAAAAGAAAGTTGGCGTATGCTTCAAAATGGGGAGCGCTCGCAAGTTTTGTGCATTTTTCTCCGCCTGGCCTAGAGAAAAACGACCACTACCTCCCCCCGGCGACAATCACGAGGGTCGATAGTCTCCGCCTCGTGCAGGCGAATACGCACATGTACAGGACGCACTTCCGCACTTGCCCAATTTGAGCGTTTGCACGTCTGCGCATAATATATGTCCCCTCGGGAACGACAAAAACACGTGCGTATGGAAAATGCCAATTGGTTTGCTACACCATTTAAGGGGGAAGGAGGGGCGTGCTTTTAAACAGTTCATCAGTTCGCCTCCTCAAGTTTGTTTTGTCCCTTTGCTCGACATGCGAAAAGGAGTATACATGCGTGCAAGTAAATTTTTTTTTTTGAACATGTACTTATATCCTCTATGCTGGTATAAGTACACATATCTCCATGTGCACGTGTAAAAGCATTACACTTATCTGCCTCAAAATGGGAAAAAAAAAAAAAAAAAAAAAAAAAAAAAACACATTCGCAGTACTGAATAGCCTTCGCGACAAAATTAAAAACTTCGTAGGGCCATTCGGCAAGCGTGGAGGCTGCTCAAACAAAGAGAGTGGAACGGGTGCAAAAAATGGAAATAAAGAAA